TGGTCTGGAGGAGGCAGGAGGAGGGCAAGGCGGAGCGGAGCGCTGGTGTGGTGGGCGTTGAGACCAAGTGTCTTTGTGGTTCGTACGCCTGTTATGGTGGATGCCGGTTGCTGCACTTGTTGAGTGGTACTTGATTTCACCTTGCTCCGACAAGGATCTTGTGATGTTTTCAGGGAAAGCCGGGGAGTTAGTCCCTTATGTATTAGGGGTTTATGGAAAATCGTGATGTAAACTGTGCTGAACAACTTATTCTTAACGTGAATCTGTTATTCTTAGCCATTGTTTTTCTCTCCAAACGTTGCATATATTTTCAAACTGCAGCAAATTCTTATAAACAGTATTTCTAGAAGAAACATTGCTGTATGCTGTCATCTTCATGTGCATTTATGAAATGTTTTACTTTTTAAATTTAGATTACGTGGATAAACCTTTGGAAAAACCTTTAAAGCTCGTGCTTAAAGTTGGAGGAAGTGAAGTGACTGAACTTTCCGGGTCAGGTCATGATTCTAGTTACTACGATGACAGATCAGATCATGAGCGAGAAAGACATAAAGAAAAGAAGAAAAAGAAGAAAAAGAAGTCTGAGAAGGAAAAAGAAAAGCATCTAGATGATGAGGAAAGAAGAAAGAGAAGGGTAAGCTGTGATTTTAAGAGTTAAGACATAACAATCTTGCTTGTCAGAGTACCAGAACCTCTTTTTTTAAAAAAAACCCAAACATTCTTGCAAGAAGCTTATAGTTCGGAGACAGCACTTAACAAATGTGTATGTGTTAGTGTATTTGTCCCATTTAAAAAGAGATATCCCTGTGGTGATTTTTAAATGGAGTGAAAGCTTTTTTCTCATAGCTCCTTATTTTTCTTGTCCATTTGCTTTGTCTGTAGGTATGAATACTTCTGTTTTTAAGTTGAGTGTTTTGTATTTCAGCCAGGTCAGAAACATATTTTGCTGCCTTTTGAAGAGATATTTTCAGCTTTTCAAATAAATCTAGATTGCATTTCTGTTCCTGAGGTATCCATTTCAATGGCCAATAACTTGGCATATGTTTACTCAGAACAGCTTTCTGCAATCTGAATGTTGAGTACTGTGGAGCAGTAGACTTATTGGCTCTTGCTTAGAATAACCTGCAGGCTCTGCTTTGTTCATAGCAAATGGTGTGGTCACCGTAGTTATCTGTTCTGAACCTTTAGGATTTAGACTGAAATCAGCAAGAAGATGTTGACAATACAGTTACATGTACAATTTCATTTTAATAATATTTATTTTTGTACAGTAATGATTCTCTGACCTCTGCTTTTTAAAATTCTCTTCTGTCATTTACTTTTATTATTTTCATCTGACATTTTTTCAGTACTGCTTTGTATATGTGTATGTCTAACATCTGTCATTTGGAATTTATTTGTTTGTTAGGCTGTATTACTTGAAAGTGATATCTCTTGCAGGATCATTCAGAAGCTCTTGAATACAGGGCAAATAGTGAAAAATTCTCTTTGTACAAACATTTTCAAATATTTTAGTTAAAAGTATGGCTGGGGCTTGAAATGTACCAAAATAACTGAATGCAGTCTTACAGCATCAAATGGTAGTATTTGTTTTGCCTTTGCTAAATTGTGGGGGGACTTTTTTTTTCCCCTGGAACTTCGTTATTAGTGCATGCAAAAGAAGCTAAGAGATAGATAAGTAACAAAACTGTAGTGTAAACAAGGTTAATGACTAAGATTATAGGAATGACTCGGGTATGCTTTTGCCTTGAAGCTCAGGAGGAGATCATTAATTGCTACCAGTGTTATAGAGCATTTCTGATGTTTCTTTTGTAGGCTTCCTAAATTATCGTGTGCTTTATTAATTCCTGTTTAATGCACCAAACAAAAAACCCGCATTGATCAAAGCAGAGCTACAAACCGATCTTTACTGAATAGCAAATTAACTTCTTTACTCTCTGGTGTAGCTTATTATCATGCAGTTTTACATATAAATAGCTTCAGAGTTAAACATTCTTTTCAGTAAATGTACAGTAACTTGCAGTAATATATTAAATACAAAGATGCAAAAGGTGAACAGTATTAGTTTTAATCAGAGAAGAAAATTGAAAAGGTGACAGTGAAAATGTATGTACTATTGTTTAATCCATATTATGGCTCAGATATAGATTGAGTCTCCCAAATGAGAAATCACTGTCTCTTACTTTTTAGTACGTGGGATTGCACATTCCAAATACGTTCTTCTGAAATCTGTCTTCTTCTTGCTATTCTAGGAAGAGAGAAAAAGAAAAAGGGAGAAAGAACAGTGTGACACTGAAGGAGAAACTGATGACTTTGTTCCTGGGAAAAAGGTGGAGATTGAACCTCCTCCAGATCGTCCTGTCAGAGCATGCAGAACTCAGCCAGGTGAGCAGTGTGAAAAATTAAATTATCTTGAGTGCTTTTAAAAGCATGCATGACAAAGCTTTGGTCAAAGGTACCAAAATGTAAAATTTCCGTGAAGATTTGCTGAAATATAGAGACTTTTTTTCCCAACATTCAGAACTTTCTGCTGTCTGAAAAATCAATATTCCTCTTGGTGCTTCCAGGTTTTAATAAGGTTTCTTTTCATATAACTGAACTTGCCAAGGACGTCTGTCTCTGGCTCCTGTTGCTTGGCAGAATAAAGCTAGTATAAAAGTATTATTGTGCATACTGTTTCCCTAATTCCTTCTTAGCATTTTAGTAGCATTTACAGAGTAATGGTCAGAATGTCTGAAACTAAGTTTTGCTCAGATTAAGGGGAAAAAATCTTGTGGAGACTGCTTAGTTGTTGTTCTGGTATTTTGTTATAACCTATGTGGAGCTTTAATTTTAGTATTTCTATTTTTCATCTAAAGTATGTAAGTCTTTGATCTGTGATAGGGTGTCCTCTAAAGAGCATAGTGCCCCCAGTTTTCATTTGCCAGTCTTCTTTAGTTCTCATCACCAGCCAAAGTACTTATCAGTTATGTGTAGTCACTTCTGCTTGTTTAATCCCTTCAGATTTTTCCATGCTTTCTCTGTCTGTAGCCATTGCTTGATAGTTAAAACTCATCATTAACCAGTTGAAACTTTTACTTACAATAATTTTCAAATACATCATGATCTTCAGATACATCCATGCCTGGAAATGGAACTTGGTAGCAAAAAGTTGTGTCTTTCATAATATTTTGAGTCATGTCTTTGGGACGCTGCCCATTGACTGGTCACATAATTTATTGAGGGATAGACAGGAGCGGTTGGACGTGATGATCTCGGAGGTCTTTTCCAACCAAGCGATTCTGTGATTCTGTGACTTTCTAATTATGAGTACACATCAGATTGAGGAGTGGTGTCCATCAACTGTCAAGGTGACCCAATAGGTGTAACTGAAATTTTCTGGTCAAAGCTTTATCTGGGTAGTCTGAAGCCTTGAAAAAGTGACAAGCTGAAAACTGACACCTACATTGACAAGGCTTCTATTTTCATCTGCTTGGAAAATGTTCAAAAGCATATAAATTATCTGACCTGTTCTGGTTGGAAAGGGAAATTTTCTCCATTACCATGATGAAGAGTTGGAAATTTAATTCTAGATTTCAGCTACTTGTGTTTTTCAGACTTCATTGTAAAGCCAGCCTCTCTGAAATATGTGCATGGAACAGGTAATTAATATGTAGTGTTTATTGTTTAATTTGTACATGAAGTGAAACCATAAGCAGTACATCTCTTGCCAGCAAATGTGCATCTAATTTTCACTCTTCTTTTTGATTGAAAAGATTCAGGGAAGCTAATTACATGGATGTTATAATAAAGAAACCTTAAAATTGCGTGGATAACGTTGTAAGAATGTGGATTGCCCAACTGCAGTATTTGAGCAACCGAGTTTCAGTTTTCCTGCGAAAATACATAACACCTTGCTTTCACCTTATTAATACATTTTCTTACAACTATCAGACTTAATATTATATCTGATTTAATGTCTACTAGTTTTTAATGTGATTAAAACTCAGGAAGTAGTGAAGAGGCAGAAATAGTTACCGTATGCTTAGAAATCTGATGTGCTGCTGCTTTGAAATCCATGTCACTGACCTTCAGATCAGTACGAGCTGTACTTACAGTTAAGATTTGCTCTCTGATATTTATATTTTTAAATAAGTAAATATACCTACATTGTATTTCATTGCACTTATCTGTGTTTCCATCTCAAACTGCAGCTGAAAATGAGAGCACACCAATTCAGCAATTACTAGAGCACTTCCTTCGCCAGCTTCAGAGGTATTAATTGTGTTGTATCTGCAGCTGTGTCAGCAGTGTCTAATGCATATTTATGTGTTACTTTAGAACTTCTTATCCTGGTTTTATGTTTGGTATCCTTTGCAACCATGTCAGACCTGGTCATTTTTAGAAATCAGTTCAGGAAAATTATTACAACTATGCAATTCTAGCTTTTGGTGGGGAAATGTTTTGGGCCAACCATAGGTTGCCATTATAAATTTATTAAATATTAATAACTTTAGGAATTAAAAAAACAGTTATGAATCTTAATAGTCTGAAAGATTAAACTGTTCTCATTAAATGTTGTTTTATTCTGTGTCTTCTGTTGGATACCAAAGCAGTTTTATACCTGCTTACTTGATAATCCTCTTAACTCGGAAAGGGTTTTTGCTTTATTGTTTTTCATAAGATACTAACCCTGTACCTTATGTCTAAAAATCAAAGAAACAAACAATTTCATTTTCCATTTCTATTACATAGCAATCAACTGAATTTGGAGCTAATTTAAAAATATTAAACACTGTAGCTGTTTTTAGAGGGCCACATGAACAAGAATTGCAGAAGTTATTACTCAGCGAAGCCAAAAAAACAATTTGGAATGTAAATAAAGACACAGAAAGCATGCATGAAATAATTAAGTGATTCAAGAACTAGCTGAATCCCTTCCAAAAAGTCTACATGTGTAATCAAAATTCTCTCTTGTATTAGGAAGTTTTTCACATACACTTCTGTTTCATGAGAATGCTTTTAGTGTTTTTTTTCTTTTTAAATAGTACTGTTCTTTTTATATTATTAATTTGGTATAATAACAATGATCATTTTGTTTGCTGATATAAATGTAAATGTTGGGGTTTTTTTATTTTTAGGAAAGATCCGCATGGATTTTTTGCTTTTCCAGTCACGGATGCCATTGCTCCTGGATATTCCATGATAATAAAGCACCCCATGGATTTTGGTACAATGAAGGAAAAAATTGCAGCAAATGAATACAAATCAGTCACTGAATTCAAGGTGAATTGATATTTAGTTTTTTCAGAACTCTCTAGTAACAAACCAAAGATTCTTTTTAACTGTAGAAGCCTTTCTTGCATCAGTTATTTTAATGTGCGTTTTTTCCAAACTGAGCACTTTTGTATATTCTGTCTATTAGAATGTGGAGTCTCTACACTTGTCCCATTCAACTACAGTATTTTTATTTTTTTTAAATATAGACCAGGCTAGATTGATTAAAAGGCAATTTTGACATGTCTGCTAGAAAACTGGATATACTGAAGCATTTTGCTTAAGATTCATTCAACTACATGTTTTTTTATCTTTAATTATCCTGTTTTCCTTATACCTTCATTTGGAATAGTCTTTTGGCAGAAACTTGCTTGACTGGATGATCTTTAAGATCCCTTCCAACCTAAACCATCCTATGATTCTAAGTTTGTTGGCAACTTGCCTTAGCTGTTTAGTGTATTGCTATTGCTGCAATACTTCATTGGATGCATTGTGGTTTTGCAGACAGTGCAGTAAGAAATCTTTTAATGGTATTGCCAGCTCCTGGAAGGAAAGGCGTTTTTGTTTTTTTTTTACTGATTCATGAAGTTCTATTAGCTGCTTTCAGTATTATTGTTTTCTAGAGTGATGTTAATATAACAGTATACAGATGTTGTATTTCTCAAGTATATTCTGATTTGGAAGGTGGGGAAAAAACCCCGAAAAAGTACTTACCTTGGTACCTCAGTCCTTCTGTTAATTTCTCCATTACTTCTGTTTAGTCCATTTGTGTAAGGAGGAAATGTTCCATTTAGCATTCAGGGAAAATGTTTTTTTTTTTTTTAATAACCAAAAAACAAATTCCAAACAAAGCTGAGCATCTTTAAGAAGGAAAAAGGGATCAAAACTTTGCAATTGTGTTACCTTTTGACTTGCATTTACTTCATGAGCTTGCTGCTAAAATACTGTTTTGTTCACAAAGCTGCCATGATGGAATGGTATCTTCCAGTCATTTAATGAAGGAGTTCAAAAATTTAACAGTTCTTTTGTTTTGTATTTTACAGGCAGATTTTAAACTGATGTGTGATAATGCAATGACTTACAACAGACCAGATACTGTTTACTACAAGCTAGCCAAGAAGATACTACACACAGGCTTTAAGATGATGAGCAAAGTAAGAGACCTATAAAAAACAAAAAGCAGAAACTCTTTTGGGATTTTTTTGTTCATACTTAAAAGAAACATAACATTTTTTATTATTATTAATTATTTCATCTATCTGTGATGAATTGTAGCAGTGCCTGTTAATGGTGCAGTAATTAAGGGCTTGATACAATTCTTGTTATCACTCCCTTATTTCTCAACCTCGTCTGCATTGTAGGAGCTTCGTCCACTGGCCTCAGTGGCAGCAATTAAGATCCACCTACATAAATCCCAACTGCAAAACATTGCTTCTGCCTGAATCTTTGAAAACAAGATCTCATTTAGGTTTTATTTGTGGATAAACAAGACAGCTTTTCTTTTTTGAAGGTGGTGGGTGTAGGGGAGGTTTCAAGGGTTTCACAGATGAACATGTGCCAGTATGCTTTTTACTCAAATACTGTTGTTTGCTTGTAAAATGAAGTTATTTTGGTAAGCCGCTCTGTGTGCATGCACACGTGTGTGTGTGTGTGTGTGTGTGTGTGTGTGTGTGTGTGTGTGTGTGTGATGCAGTTCTGGTAAGTTTTGTGTAAAATGGGCGGTTGTCTTTGCATATGCAGTTTTTTGTTTGTTTGTTTCTCTCTTGATAGTTGGGCTGCAGAAATTCTGATGCCATGCTACCATGACCAAATCATGTTGCATCGCCATTGGAAACGAGGCATTAAGAACAAAATAAGGCCATGGCCATTCCCATCCCATCCCATTATCATAGCATCTTGGCTATGAGGGAAAGGTTAAGTCCCTGCCGCTCTGTCCTTTCTGATTCTAGGAACGGCTGTTAGCTTTGAAGCGCAGCATGTCGTTTATGCAGGACATGGATTTTTCTCAGCAGGCAGCTCTTTTGGGTGATGAAGATACAGCAGTTGAGGAACCTGTCCCTGAAGTTGTTCCTGTACAAGCAGAGACTACCAAGAAATCCAAAAAGCAAAATAAAGAAGTTATTAGGTAAAGGTTTTAATGGGCATGCTTACTGGTTTGTTGCAGTTTTTCTAATATGAAATAGCAGCAAAGAATTGAGGTGAAGAAAACCCTCCTTTCGGTCTCTCTCCTTGTTGTCCATAGGATTAATGGGCAATTTTACTGTATTTTATTTATATGTTTATAGAACTAGTTTAATTAACCCTGTGGTTCCCAACTTGAAACAATTCAAAGAACAGCTATATTCTTTTAAACACTTACAGTTAATGTAGATACAGGTTTTTTTATTGTTCTTTGTATTAAATAATGAGTAGTTTCTTCTCATGATGGTTTGAAATGTTCTTTCACTTGTAAAATAGCCACAAAGTCTTACTGCATTTTGTCCTTTTTTTTTCCTTTCTTTTTTTTTTCTAAAATGATTGACTCTTTCAAAGTCTAAACAGGGTCTTTGAGAGGGCAAAATGGCCCCAGATCAGTAAATAATTTTATTTAACTTCAGTCTTATCTGGCAGGATGTAGAGGCACAGGAGATTATTTCTGGAGCAGATGATAACATCTTCCCAATGAAAGCTTATTAAGCTTCTTTGTAAAATACATTGCTAGTGCACTAGTCGTCTTCCAGCTAATAGGAACCCTCATGTCAGGAAATCGTGTCTTTATAACTAAAACCTAATTTTAGTAAAATTAAAGGGTTTTTTTAGAGGACATTTTAGCAGAAACTGTGATTCACAAGCAAATTATGTTATTCAGTGTTCTTACGTAGACATACTGAATTTAAATTGTAGAGCATCATCTAAACTGGAATTTTATGAAAATAAAAATCTAACAGAGCATTACTAGTCATGTTTCAAATAATCTGATCATGTAGATATGTTCTGCAGGCTTCTTTCTTAAACATCCAAAGTAAAAGTAGTGAAATGTGACTTGTTCTTTCAAGTTCATGCTCTTATTTTTGTTGAAGCTTTAGTGTTATAATCAGCCACATGTTTTTTGTAACACTTCAAGCATTTCTGTAATCCTGTCTGTTGGAAGAAGTAGTATTTTAATGTAGTTGTCCTGTGGAAATAGGAGACTGCAACATGTATCTTCAAACCAATTTTAAACTGAAAAATTTTGTCTGGAGCTATTTTAATAGCATACAGAAACATATCTGTTGCTGTATCGTGGAGAATTATCAAAGTGTAATTTGTTCTTTCTTTAGGAGATTCTGTATAGGAATTTACTGAAAGTACCTTTCCATAAACAAGACTTGATTGGAGGAAAGGTCGTTTGGGTTTTGTTTGGGTTTTTTGTTTTGTTTTGGTTTTGTTTTTTAGATATGATTATTTGGTTTGTATGGTGCCCAGAATAATAGATTTTATCTTCCGATTTAATTCTTACATAAACTCCATTACAGGAGTAACTTTATACTTTGCCAGTTTTTGTGTGCTTATCTTCAAGTACAGATAGCCAAGAGAGCAAGAAATTGAAACTGCCAAGGAATGAAGTATTGGTCTTTATTTAATATCTACCTTAACATACAATTCATAACATAACAGTTAAACATAAACAGTTTAAACATAACAGTTTAAAAATATCTGTTCATTAATTTTATCCTGTTACTAGTTTCCTTGCAATCACTTGTGCTATAAATATACTTTCCAGTGCTTTTCAATGTTTATTTAACTTTAGTAGCTAGAATTAATTTGTTTTTTCCTAATTAATTTAATCTTTTAAGCAGTTGTATCTTGGCATCAAGTAGGATAGATTTTATTCTTTCCGATTAACAGCAAGAGCTTTGGGGGAAGAATTGAACCTAATAGCAGATATTTTTGCCTTCATATTTTATAGTTAAAACCAGAGAAAGAGCTGAAGTCAGTGTTCGCAAAGTGTTAAAGCAGTTCAGACCTCTATACTGTAGTTTAAAAAGTGACTCAATTACTAAAACATCCTAATATCTAAGTAGTGTTTGAAACATTTTTCTAGGATGTTGCAATCTTCTGAACATTCTCTCAAAATTCGTGTCCATTAAGTATCCTGTAGCGTGTGATAGAAAGTGCCAGTTGTTGAGATGTTTCCTGCTGTGTACACCCTTTCTTAAACTTTCAGTGAAAAAAAAATCATGTAACACATTTGTCTCATAATAGTATGATCCTGTGATCTTTTTGTTGTCTTTAATAGCAAAACTTTCTTGTGTATCGGATCTGAATCTCTATACAGAGAGAAATTCTTAGCTAAGCAAATGGAAGAAGATACCCCAGGAGAGACAAATGGATTTGGTGTGAGGAGATGCTCTACCCAGTACCTAAGGTGTTTGGCCCTAGTGTCTAATGTCCATATAATGCCCTGAAAGATTTTGATGTACAAAGTTTATTTTACCTATATAGTATAACGGAGACTGCCATATCCTACTGCTATCTTCACTCTTCCCCTTAAAATACTACCTTTCTCTGATTTTATATCATAGTTAAGATACATCCTCTTCCATCTTAGGAACGTTTATTTGTTATGTTTTTATTGTTATGGTGCTTTCATGAAAAGGGATCTACTGAAACATAAATGTTAAATTCTTTAATTTCAATGAGAAGGAATGGTATGATTGATACTGATAAGAAATACTATTTGCCAGTAGTAACAAAGATAGGAATTAAGAGACTCCCTGTTAGAATGGGAGCAGTGTCCAGCTTCTACAAGCAACTAAATGACATAATCCCCAAATGCAGCCTGTTTGTTTTGGGTTTTTTCTCAGATTAGAATTAGAGTCTCCATTGCCTCATCCTGTAATTTCTTTTCTGCATCTTTCTATTTTGAATTTTGCAAATAGCATATTTTTGCATGGGGGAGACTAAGGATGCGTACAGCATTCACCCTGTATTAATGCAATTTTACTCCCAATCTTTGTTTTGTAATGCTTCCTTTATTTTCATCAAGGTACAGAAACAATTACATTTTTGGAGTTCAGTGATTTGGTACTTCTTGGCTTCTGCTGCAAAACTTCTGTTTCATACTATGATTATAACTCCACTGAAATGCTGAAGTAGACTGACACTGGGAGAGGAGTAGGACTGAGTGTTCTGTTTAGCAAACCTAGAATTCGGCCCTTTGTTTTATTTTAGTGTTTAATTTCTACAGCAGCTCTTCTTCTCTTTCTTAGTTGCATATTTGAACCTGAGGGAAATGCGTGCAGCCTGACAGATAGCACTGCTGAAGAACATGTCCTGGCACTGGTGGAACATGCAGCAGATGAAGCTCGAGATAGGATCAATCAATATCTACCCAACAGCAAGGTCTAGTGCATAATTCGTACTGTTCACAATTCCATTTTGCATCTGAGTACCGAATGCTTTGTTTCATCTAAAGATACAGGCTTTAGCATTACGTTTTCTGAGACTGTAACATCTAGGATGTATGCTCTGTGGGGACTGAAGCTCATTGTAGGGTATCCTAAATGGATCTCTAGTTGTATTGTGTGTTGAACGTCTTTCACTGGCAGAAAACAGTGAAATGTTGCTCAGTCTTAAATCTGGCTTCCTTAATTGCAACTCTTAGCATTGAGAGTGATTAAAATAGCATCACACTCTTCTTATTGTTGCAACCTTGGAAAAAGCAAACTTTGGCAGAGGTTGAAGAGTTATTAGGATTCATCTCCACAACCTAAGGAATTTGAGAACTTTCAGGTGTTTTTAATGAAGTGTCCAGAACCTCTGGTAGTTTTGTACCTGCAAGTAGTAGCTGTCAGCTATAGCACATTCTCGTGTGACTACAAGATAGACATCTTTCAGTGACTAGGAGAAGACAACAGTAGTTTGCCCGTGTTGGAATTTTGGACAGTACTAACCACAGATCAGATAATCTTGAATGTGATTCTGATACTGTTCTGTGTGTTTGGGTTTTGTACAGCTCCAAGAGTTAGAAGGAAAAGCTCAGTGATGCTGTTAGTGCCATTTTCTCAGTGTGATCTGTTCATGGGGTCTGTTTATCTTAGCTATGTGATGATAGTGAATTCCTTTATTTCCTCATGTTAAGGTTGGAGCGAATGCTACAAGCATTTGCTAAGGCCCTATGTTTGGATAGATTTACTGCTTTCCTTGCATTGTGTGGAGTTTTATTACCACTATTATACTTTGTCCTCATTTCTCATTCTGTCATGAATGGGCCTTGTTAGGCAGTTGCCTTAAGCTCAACTGAAATAGTAAGTAATGCCTAAAAGAACAGTGGGAGAAGGTGTAACTTCTTCAGTATATTTCTGTTTCTTTAGATAATGAGGACTTGCTAGGATTGAAGGCTATTTGAAACCTCCAAAGTAGGACCAGCCTTTTAAAAACCCTTTAAAGCAATACCAGTCTTCTGCCAGTTGCTGGCTTTACTGCAAATGCCTTTTGTGTTGATGCAGTCAGTTTTGCAGTGCTCAAGAAGGAGTTTTTCTAGGTGTCCAGCTCTTAATTGTCTGGGCTGATAGTCAGCTGGACAACCCACTGCCAGTCCCATTGAATCTAGGCAATGCAGGCATGTTCTTAGAGTTCAGCTATTGTTAACTTCAAGGTATTGTTCCCGTTTATTTTTCCAGTATTTGTCAACTGTGGGGGTTTTTTTTATATGCCACCATTGGCTTTGGCCTTATGTATGGAGAGAGTTTTGAATTTTTGAAGGAAAAGAGAGATTTATTGTTCAGTTTACTTGGAAGTATTTACTAATATTTTTTAAGGGAGAGCATAATTTTCATATTCCATCTTTACTAAGAAGTTAGTCTTTTTTGCATGATTCATTTGTAGTCAGTTTCTGACATCAGCTTAGTTTGTTGCATCGGTTGTGGCTTTATCTTTACAGACTCCAGTGTGTTCTATTGTCTCTAACATCTCTAGCTGTCTTTTTAGCATCATACTTGTTTGCTCTGATAGGTCTGTCTCAGCACTTCTTCCTCTTCAAGAATTTGATAGTATGTTCGTAAAATACTTCTACTTAGAGAAAGTAATGGATGAGATACAAAAACAAGCAGTTCAGTCTAGATTTGAAAATAATCAGTGAGTTAGATTATGGATAGGAGTTAGCGTTCTGCTCGTAAAAGGAAAGTATGATCTAGGCTTGGCAAACGGAAAGCCTGGCTCTATAATAATCGTAATGGAATTGTTTTTATCTTGGATGCAAACTTTAGATCTGGTTTAGGAAGATGGAATTGTTATTGCACATATGACATACAAACTTTTATTCCTATATGTTCTATTCTGAAGCATTTGGTAGGCAGTGATAAATAGCCATGACCCAAGATTCTCCCTGTATTAAAAAGAGAATACTAGAGTGCAGGATCTGAATACAGCCAAAATTGTTTTTTATAGTTTTCTGTGTAAGCAAGCAACTCTTTCTTTGAGTTTGGACTCTTTTGAATGATTGCTTCTGTATCTTTATGGTTCTATTCACAGATTGGTTATCTGAAAAAAAATGGAGATGGAACTTTATTATTTAGTGTAGTAAATTCATCTGATCCAGAAGCAGAAGGTAAACGCAATAATCTTTCAAGCAAACTTTAGAAATGTTGAATGCTCTAGCAGACTTTGAAGTGTTAACTCTACATACAGATCCTGTGTCATACAGAAAAGTTTTTTAAAAAAAAAAGAAAAAATAAACCATTTTCCCTCAACAGCTATTTTGATTATCTCCAGTATAAGAAGTTTCTCTTCGCTTTTCAAATTTTCACTCTTCAGATGCTCTGTTTTACTGATGCTAACATCATCAGTAATAGTGAATAATATCTATTTATAAGCACTTATGCGTTGCTACAACTTTATAGAGAGCTTGAAAGACAGGCTTTTGCTCCAAGTACCCTGTAATGTTAAAATCTGATGGGGGGAAAAAAAGTTAATGACAGTGCTGTATTCCTATGTAAATGTGCAATGCACAGGTGCAGATACAGAATCATCTTTTACCTTTTTTTATTTCCTAATTTAAATTACTAGCTAAATTTCAGTTTTAAGTTAATTAGGTTTTTTTTTAGTGCTTAATGGTTTTTCTTTAGTTCCTTGATCTTTTCTTCAAAATGCAAAGTTTTGAAGGTTTATAATGAATGAAATGTCATAGTCTTTATGCTGCTGTATGTCAAGTTGATTTAGCACTTCCTTCTCTGCACCTTTTGAGATTGGACTTCACAGCTTACCTGTTGTTGCACTGGTAAATACATGAACCCTTTAGACTAGTCGCATTTCTGTTGTCTTTTTTGATTGACAGATACAAGCCTGTAACTGTATTACTGTCTAAATTCCTTTTCTTTTGGTAATAAATTTTTCTGCAATGAAATTGAGCATTTTGGCTGCCACCATGGCCTTACCTATTATTAAATGATAAAATTAATGTGATTTAATACCTCTGAAATCATGCCAGTGATAATTTAGACAGTGATGGTAATGGGAGCAGAGCAAGTGTTTACTATGTGCTGTAAAGTACTGCTTCCTGATATTTCCATGCTCCAGATTGTTGGGTTTTTTTAATAATATAGTTAATACTAGTTAGACTGAATTTACAACTAATACCATAACTGAATTTTTGTTGTAGCTTTTTTTTTTAACCTAGGAAGGGTTTGGGGATAAGCTCGCTTTCTGTTGTGCAGTAATTGAGCATAAGTACCATTAGATTCCATCACAGCAAAAAAGATTTAAAATAGCCATGTCCTTAATGTTGTTGGGATTTATTTTTTTATTTTAGTTTAAAAGGATATTCTGAATTATTTAAGCCATTTTAATTAGGCAGTTCTCAGAACTTTAGAATAAATATATTGCTGTAGCTATAATGGTAATTATCTTAACAAGGTTCTTTACGTGGTGTTTGGGTTTCTATAGGCAAACTAGCACCTAGTCAACCTAAGAAACTGCTTTTATAATTTCATAATATCTGGATCTGAAATGTTCATGAATCGGCTAGTAAAACAATTTCAGATGCTGCTCTGCACTTTGGAAGTGATTTAACTAAGTAAGCTATAGATCATGTGAAGAAGAGATGGAAATATATTTACAGTATTTGAAATTTAAATTGAGAACCTGAATTACACTACCTATCTTTAATAAAAATGTACAGATTAAAGGACATTTCACCTTTATGGTAACTGCAAGTTTTAAAAACAGAAAGATCTAAGTATTCACCATAAATAAATTTTAAACAAGAAATACTTTTCTAAAAATCATTATCTTCTTTTGAATCAAATTATTAGAGGAAGAGACTCACCCAGTGGATCTGAGTTCACTGTCAAGCAAATTATTACCTGGCTTCACTACACTGGGCTTTAAAGATGAACGAAGAAATAAAGGTAAGTGTCAAAGAACATGTTTAAACTTTGTGTTAATTAAGTGTTTGAGCAGTTTCTTGACATAAAATAATTTTAGATTATACGTGTTTTCAAATGAAAATTCACTTGGTTATTTTTATAACACATCATTGTTCTATTTACAGCAGAATACAGTTTTAATTAAATGGACTTGTTTGCTTATTAAACATAACTTAATTAGGAGTTTATAGATTAATGTTTTTTCTTAGTGTTGTAGCCACATTAGAACCTTTCCAATAATGGTACTCCAGTTTCTCTGAAGGAAATAATTTTTCCTGAGCAACTGTGCTTAGAGTTGAGGGGAAAAAAACCTTTTAGTCATTTGCATTTTTGTATCATGACAAGGATTTCACAAACTGAATTTTTTTTCTGGTATTATTGTAATTTTTAATGCTTTCTAATCTGCTTTCCAGAAACTGACTGGCAAATAGTAATGAAGTAGACACACGCAAAAAGCAGAAATATAAAAGGGGGTGGAGGCATGAATCTTTTTTTGTGGGAATGGAGTGGTTAACTTACACTACTGGAAAATAAAGAACTGTTTATTTATATGGTTAACATAGTAGTAGTGGTTCTGGTTCTGAAGTCTGGAAGTGTCCTTGAGATATTGCTCTTTATTTCAATTGGAGGAAATAAGACACTGCACTTTCTGTATCTGTTTCAGAAAGCAAACTTTTTTCTCCTTCTCCCGCCCCAAAGTGATCTTTTAAATTTGTGTTCATGGTTTGTCATCTCTTTCTTCTGTCTGTCTAGTAACCTTTCTTACAAGTGCTAGTACAGCACCTTCCATGCAAAACAACTCTATATTTCACGATTTGAAATCAGATGAAATGGAACTCCTGTACTCAGCATATGGTGATGAAACTGGGATACAGTGTGCCTTAAGGTAAGGCCTTCCTCATTAGGAAGCCTAACTTCTTATAGCAATTATATGAAAAGCAATTTGGACTAAGTGTCAACTAGGAGCCTCCAAATTCTGATGTTTTTTTCTAAAACTTATTTTTAAAATAACATAGTGTAAAACTTGAAGCTAGCTTTCATTCTGGCTGGTGTGTTGTGCTGGGGTTTTTTTGTTTGGTTGGTTTGTTGTGGTTTTCTTTTTCCATCCACACTTTTAAGTTACCCTATTTTACTGCAAGGCTTGTTGTGGAACTTGTTATTAGGATTTCTTACCACAAGATATTATAGGTTGCTAAAGATTTAGCATTTTACTTTAAACCCAGCAGTAAGTAGATTTAGATACACAAGTAATAGATTTCAGTGACTCTTAAACAGTTGTATTTTTCAAGAAGTTTCCAACACTTAAAGCTATTAGAAAAGGAGAATGATGCCACTTTTCATTAAACTGTCAGTCTTGGAGGGAAACAATTTTTTAAGTTTTCTTTGTGTTTTTTTCACCTACTCCCTATATATATATGTAACCCACTACCTAACTGTAGTTCAAGTGAAAATTTGCTGATAGGTGTGAAAAACAAGTTTGCACATACCTTTATTTCCATTTTAAAAAAAGGCAAAAAAGGAACAGTCCTGTCTTGAAGGCCCTAATTGCTTTTCTGAGGATGCATAAAAGAGTAAAAGAACAAAGAAAACATAGGTGTAATCCACCATAGATGGGGAAAACCATATTATAAGTTGAAATATTTTTTATAAAAGTAAGTATTTTCTGTAATGCTTACATCTCCATTCCTACTAGCTTACAAGAATTTGTGAAGGATGCTGGAAATTACAGCAAGAAAATAGTAGATGATCTTCTGGACCAGATCACTAGTGGAGATCATTCCAAAACAGTTTATCAGCTAAAACAGGTGTGTCCTTGATGCACAGATGTGTCACAAGTTCATCAAAACAAGAATGGACCTGTTTCTGGCGTTTAAGATTACAATGTGCTATGGTGTTCTGTGTGTGAGCATTTTGTGCTGCTACATCTGAAAGTGCAGCCATAAATTATTTGGAATCATAAGTTACTGAAGTAATGACTGAGATACTGATGATATAAAGTACATGAGCAGAAGAAATAGCGTAAGAAGATCGGTTAAAATGCATAGTACTAAAATATTTCAAAACCGTAACTGTTACATTGTAATTGCATTACAGATAAGTGAAAAAGTTAGCTGTCTCTAGCCTTATTTTGTGTGCAAAGCTTGAATATACGCAAAATTGTACAGAAGAGATGTTTTTCTCTTATGTTGAATAAAAGTAATTGTTAGTATTCTTTATTTCCAGAGGCGAAACATCCCAGTAAAACCACTGGATGAAGTTAAAGTAAGTTATGCTGATACTGAGTCTGGGTTTCTTTTACTGGAAAAAGTGTCTTGGTATTTAAAGTAGAGAAAGTGATGTTCTCTTTGCTTCCAACATTCAAATTCCTACTTTTATTTAATGTGCCTCTTTTCTGTATAATAATACAGAAAAGCTTGATAAGTGGAGTACATGATAAAGAAGAGTCTGTTAGGTTAGTCCTAAGGAGAGAGCGTACTGGTTAGTTCTATGTTGTTCATGCAAATGTATATGGTCACTCATTAGTGAAGAGCTAGTCTTTATCTTTTTGTAAAGGATCTACGCGAACATCACAAAACATGACAAATGTTCTGTGGTGGCCTAGGATCTGATCATAGTAAACCAGTAACTTACACAAACTAAGAGTATTCTTAGGAAACATTAAGTATAAGCTGTGAAATGCTAAGATCTAAAATATGGTTTGATTCTTTAGGTTCTGCCAGTTCTCATAAAAGAAGAACACAAGTTGCGTAATACCTGTTCGGATTCTTCCAAACAGATTATGGTAAAATGAATGGTTTGTGTGTTTAAAAAAGGAGGGAAAAAAAAAAAAGAGTATTGAGACATTCATTTTGTTTCAGTGCAAGGATATGCATGCTCTGAGGTAGAAGATCAAAATTACAGTATCTAGAATAAGCTTTCATACTTAAAATGGATGCTCTGACAGTCTACTTCAGTTAGGAGCTTTGTCCTGTTGTTCTGTATACCCTAGTTTAATTCAGCAAGCGTAATTAAATTTTGGAGGCAGAAGGACAGTTTAGGAATCTGAAAGATACTTGATGAATACTGCTGATGAATATTTGAGGTTCAGCCTGCTGTAAAAGTGGGGAAAAAACCCAGGATTTAACAGTTTTACTGCATCTGTTGAAAATGTCTGTTAGAAAGTAGGAGTAAATGATGCATATCTTATGCTTTCACAGCTAGTAATCAATTCTTTCTTTAAGTGGTACAGGTTTTGTCTTGCAAATTATTTGTGACAACAGAAGATATGCACTGTATTCCATGGCAATTCACATAAAAATTGTAAGGATTAGATTATAGCAACTAATAAAATTTATAGTTTCATAAATATTCCTTATGTTTTATGGAAAGGTTTGTATTTCGTTAGAAGGTGACTGGTTAAGTCATGAAAGTGCTAAGTTTCATTTTCATGTTTCTAAAAAGATAATACCTGGTTGTGTATTTACTTGCATGTCTTATTCTTCGTGCTGCAATAGGCAACTTCAGAGAATCCTGTTATAATGTGTTTTGAATCTGAAGGACTTTTACTTTGATCTCTTACTTTTTGCCATTACATAGCAATATTGCAGCAGATAGGGGAAAAATGAAATTGTAATGCAGGCTGTGTTTCTTTATCCAGAAAAAATACTTGAGAGACCAGCTCCAGCTGATACTATGTATAGGGAGGCCCACCCTACTGGTTTTGTTAGTGTCTCACTAAAAATTTCAATAAATCCAGTGTTGCATTGAGAAAATGAGGGAGAAGGAGATCTGGGAGTGGTTTATGATGGGGGACACTGATAATGCTTCCACCCTGCCAGAGCTCTGCCCTGGGACAGAGATGAGTTGAGGATGTAATTGAGTCACAGAGGATTCGGTAATGTTGGTTTCAACAGTCCTGAATGATGACATGAAAGATATTTAGACTACCCTGCAGACCCCTTGCTATTCACATGACTGGTCTGTCCTGGATCCATGTTTTAGCTGCCTGTGAGCTGCAGGTTAACCAAGATGGTTATGAATGCTCCAGTGTTAAGTGTTGTTGTGCATGCTTCTGAGAGTATGGATTCATGCGTTTACCTCAAACACTGAGAAGTTATTTTGATAGCTTGTCACTATTGCTAGTCTTTCTGTTTCTTGTATTTTAATAGGTTGGAGAATCTGCTGGAGACAGTAACACTTCTGACTTGGACTTTCTGTCTATGAAACCATATTCAGATGTATCTCTTGATATTTCTATGTTAAGCTCATTAGGTAAGTAATTAAAATCTAGAAGCCATCAATTATGGTTTGGCTGTACCATTTCGGCACAATAATAGCTGGATTTGTGAAGAACAAAAAAGTGTTCAAAAAATAGTAATAAATCTACATTTGACATAGGTAAAACTGTAGAGCTGGTACAAGAAAAATGAAACCTTGGTCTATTTTCCCTTTGAGACATCCATGTGCCAGCCAAGCTAACTTTTCCTGTACCACTGAAGAAACCAAAGTATTTGTATCTCACAGTTTTGATAGCATTGCTTGTTTTTCATGTGTTCATAATAATGTAAATTTCAAGAACCAGCATGGAGCTCAGAAATGTTACTGCCTCATATGCTGTCTTTTGAAATAACCTGGGAAGTAGGTAAGTATGTGAAGCTTAATCATATCACCACTTGGAATGTCCCAAACCAAAAATGAGAAGAATTCTCGGGTGTTGGAAAGACTTTAGCTTCAAATAAGGCAGCTGTATGAAAGTGTAGGGATGTTGTTTCAAATACATGTCTTCGATAGGTATTCTTTTAATACTGTAAGAAGTAATGTTCCTGTTTCTGGAGGCTGCTGAGCCTGTCAAGAGTATTATCATGAAAAGTGTTATCATGAAAAAAAAATAATGCTCATGGTTTAAGACACTTCTAATTCAGAATGTGAAAGATGCCAAACTATCTATTATAAAACATAACCAAGGTAATTGAAAGCTTGAAGAAAAATAAATTGACGGATTTCTCCTATAGGTGCATTATTCATTGAAAAGCAATTGTAAGCTCCAGTTAGACTGTCACACACTAATTCTATTGCAGTACAGTTAAAAAATGAATAAATATGTTTTATAATGTTTAGACATATCAGTCTTACTATTAATTTTTTGCTCGACTGAAAGCTTTTCATATTTTTCTTCTTTTATATTTCTGTAAATAATAATACTTCTAGATTACTTAGCTTCTGGAGTTTATGGCATTATTTCTTACCATGATTCTTGCAAAGTTAGTATGGTCTGCATTGAAGACAGCCCAAAGAGAAGTCAATGAGTTTATTTCCCTGTTTAAAGTTGAGGGAAATTTTATTAAGTGTTCAAATGAAAGAACAGCATACGTTGGCACATGTTTCCAGTTCTTTCCAATTTCACCATTTTATTTGGCTTACTATAAAATCAATGTAGCTGGAGAAGGTAGTGTTCTTAAAACCTGTGGTGAGAATTTCTCTACCTGCATAAATTACATGTTCTATTTTAACTAGATGTTGTTAGATATTTAAGTAGTCTTTCTACTGACTTCCTTTCCTCTGCTGCAAACTAAATGCATTATTTCCTGTCTGCAGTTTGACCGATGAGGAAGACAAATTAAGCTTTTATAGCCGTTTAAATGCTGAGAGTCAGCTTAGTTTCAGCAATTTCCCCATTTCTCCTTCATCCTCCAGTGGTGCCAAATGCATTTCAACATGTGTTTCTTGAAACTGAAAACAGATCTGCAGCTGTTTCCTTTCAGAATTTTGCAAAGGAAAATGCAAGGTTGAGGTCATTTGTGTAGTAGGCAACATTTGTGTTAATTTATTTTAGAATTTTTTTTTAGTGTCTTGGTAATCCGTGCGTCAAATCTGCATGTGCTGATTATGATTTCTGGTTGGCAACTGGTTGCCCTTAGGGAAAGTGAAGAAGGAGCTTGATCATGAGGATAACCATTTACATCTGGATGAAACAACTAAGCTGCTGCAGGATCTTCATGAAGCTCAGGCTGACAGAGTGGGATCCCGGCCATCATCCAATTTGAGTTCCCTCTCCAATGCCTCTGAAAGAGACCAACATCATCTTGGTAAAGTTACCGGTGTCACAGAAGTTGCAGTACTTCTCTGATTGAAACTGGTTAAAACTTATATTTTAATATACATAAATCTTTGCATGAAACTACTATGATAAACCAGTAGACTGACTACAGGATCATGTTTTATTTTTTAAATATGCATGGCAAAGGCAACTAAGACAATGGTCTTTTGACCTGAGGAATTAAGGACGCTAATTGTAATTAATGTATTTTTGTTTAGGCATGATTGAAGTAATTGTGAAGTAAATTGATACTGACTGGCTAAGCCCTCTACGCACTTGCATTTTATGCTCTTAGAAATACTAAGGAGTAGATAATGTTCATTTTACTTAAGCATAGTTGTATGCAGCAGGTGACGGGTGGGATTCTACAATAACCTTCCGTTGTCAACTGTAAAAGTCAATTATAAGACTGGATGGTAGAGAAACATACCACTTAACAATTTGGTGCCATTTCTAAGATTGTAGGAGATGTTGGTTGGATGATACTCAGTTACATTTAATGTAACTTTTCAACTTGGTGTAAGAGAATAATGACTTATTTTTCAAAAAGAATCTAAATTACTGAAGAATCTTGTAATACTTTTTTTTCAAAACCTCCTGTTTAAATATCATTTAAAGGTCTGAAAGGAAGGTGAAATAATCATGGTATTTATATCCATAAATATATTTCCATTATTTTTCTGTACTTTTAAAGGTTTTGATTTTTTTCCCATATTCTACAGGAAGCCCATCTCATCTGAGTGTTGGAGAACAGCAAGACGTGGTTCATGATCCCTATGAATTTCTGCAGTCTCCAGAAACCTCAAATGCCACTACTAACTGATCTGACATGTACTGTGTGTATGTGTATATATTGTATTTTAATTGTATTATGTTTTATAAAGTTTTTGTCCATGGCAGAAACCTCAATTTTGTCCTCTTTTTTTGTGAGGGTTCCTGTATAATAGTATCGTAGATGCTGGATTAAACAAAAGAAATATACCAACTTGCTACATCATGTTGTTAGCAACGTACCAAAACCTGCTTTTGATTTGTTTGTTGAGGGAGGTTGTTGTCCGCCCCTGTGTGAATCTTGATTGAAAACCAACAAATAATGTGTTAGAAAAATTTGTATTTTATGGAAACTAAACAGTGGTAATTTTCCCAGTATCATGGCAGCAGTCATGAAATGTTTTCAGTAGAATTCTCTACCAGTTCTGTTCAGGTCTTAACTTGAACATCTTCAAGGAGGAATATGTTATTTCAGCAGTGACAGAACTGTGAAATGTGATCATTGTTATGTTTCCCATCTCCTAACCCTAGTAACCTGTAGAAGTTGTGTCTGTTTCCCCATATTTTTAAATCTTTTTTTTTTTCAATTTCTCTAGAGAATACTTAATTTGAGAGTAACAGTACTTGGTGGTTGCATTAAGATGGCTCACTGAGTATTCTACTCTGTATCTAAAAAAGATGGAGGTATTTATGATCCCTTGTGTCTTGAAACACAACGAAAATACAATTCTTTTTTTTAATTTGATATGTATATTTATTTTTATGGAAAAAATACTGTATAAGGTATGCCTTTCAGTAATTTTTAAATAAAACTTTTATAATTCAGTACTGAAGTAACTGGGGAATTTTATACCATTGATATGGGAAAGCTGGACAAATGCTATGACTTTACAATATTTTGTAAATATTAATAAACATACAAAACCACTTGTAATGATTTAAAAACTCTTTAGAAGATGGTTTGTCTTGTCTTTGGGTTTGATTTTTACTAGCTTTTAGGTGACAGAGAGGGATGGTGAAGGTCAGGAGGGGGTGTGCCTGGCTTTTTTCTGTCATTTGGCTTGAATTCCAGATCTAGACATGTAGCCTGGATACTCCAGGCCGTTTTTCCCCCCACTGCAGTTACCAGAAGGTTCTGCTTGAAAGCTGAAATCCTGTTCTGCATCAGCCAAAAGCATTCCTTATTCACAAGTCACATCTGGAAACAGACACATCACAGATTTTTCCACAACCAGTGCTGTCCATTCCTGTACTGCATCAATTTTGTAGAAATCAGAAAGTAATTTAGTTTTTGTGTCTGCTCATTTCTTGATCTCTTCACCCTTCTCTCTCTCAAAGAAAAAAAAAA